GACTTTCAGACAAATCAGTGCACGTCCTGATCCTCAGCTCCCTCGCTGATGAAACGAGGCATACAAATACCACTCGCCCCTAACCGGGGCATTATGAAGAATAAGGAATGTTTTTCTAAATGCACCAACATCTATGGAGCCCAATTCAGGGACTCGGTAAGTGTTCGCTAAAGCTGTCCTCTCCTTCCTCGAAAGCATGTGGCAATGAACGGTGCGCTCCGGGGCCGGGGAGGCGAGCCGGCCGGGCTGCGGCGAGCGGGGTGCCCGCGTCCCCCAGCCCGAGGCGGGGTCCCGCCGTCGGAGGCGCCCCCGCCCCCCTCCCCGCGCCGGGCCTCACCTTGGTGGTCGTAGACGCTGATGTAGGAGATGCCCACGGCCATACACCACACCACGAGGCTCGCGATGTCCGAGAAGCTGGTCTCCGGCTCCTCCTCGGTGATCACCAGGCCCATGTGCACCGGCAGCTTCTCCAGGGACCGGCCGTCCGCGCGCCAGCGCAGCCGAGGGTGGGGGCCGCGCGGGTGCCGGTGCGGCCGGCGGTTCCTGCCCGCGGCCGGGGGCTTGCGGAGCGTGAAGCCAAGCGGCGCTAGGACCGCGGCGGAGGCGGCGCGGCAGCAGCGCCGCCAGATCCAGTTCCAGGTGCCGAACCGAACGCGGAGCCAGTAGGTGAGCGTGCGGTGCAGGCAGAGCAGAGCGTGCAGCACCCGCCACACCAGCTCGTACAGCCCCGTCATACTCTCCGGGCGCCCGTCCGTCCTCCCCTCCCTCCCTCCCTCCCACACCCACGGGGCCGCGGCTCCTTATCTACCCCTGCGGGCGGCGCGAGCCATCGCTCCGCGTGCCCCGGTCCCCCGCGCCCGAATCCCTTTCCACTGCCAGCGCCTCACCTCGCCCCCGCCGCCATCTTCCTCCGGCCTTGGCAGCCCCACCCCCGCTAGCGCATATTCAGTTCTGATTGGTCGGCGTGGAACTCTGACGTGGCTTCTTGGGTTAGAGGATGTGGCCTAGCCCCGCTCGGCGAGGGAGAGCGCGCTCCTGGGAACTAGGTGGGCCGGCTTCCGAGTGCGCCCCCTGGTGGTTTGGAGGTTTAGAAGCGGACGCCACCGGTACTTAGGCGCCGGACCCAGAAAGATGCCTGTCGTCATGGCAGGAGTGGGTGATGGCAGGGACGCAGTGTTCCTTGGGTCCTGGGCATCTTACACTGTCTGTTTCCTCTCATGGTCCCGCTAGAAACTGTTTCCAAGCAGTAAAAGTCGTCCGAGTGGATTGGGAATTACAATAGCCAGAAGGAAACTAGGGGTAGAAAGTATCCCTCAGTAAGTGTTGATGCTGGAACCAACCAGGGTCCCTAAAGGAAGTGTCTGTAGAGGTGGGAGCGTGCCCCGTACAGAGGTCCTGCCACTGCTCTTTGATCAAACCTTCTAGCTGGACTGATTCTACGGAGAGTGAGAACGAGAACCCTTAGTAATGTTCCTGAACATAGTTCAGCCCGTATCATTCCCCTCTAAAGGGAACCCTTTGCTACAGCGGTTCTCAACCTGTGGGTCGCGAACAATGAAAATACATCCTGCCTATCAGATATTTACATTACGATTCATAACAGTAGCAAAATTACAGTTATGAAGTAGCAACGAAATAATCTTATGGTTGGGAGTCACCACCACATGAGGAACTGTATTAAAGGGTCACAGCATTAGGAAGGTTGAGAACCACTGGAATACATGCGAGAGGTTCCACCCCTGGCAGTCCAATCACTTCATTGTTTCATTCATTCATTCATTCAGCAAGCCGTTACTGGCTACCAGCACCACTGACCTCAGTCGCCACTACTGTTGGATGTAAACGTCCAGCCAGTCTTTTCCCCTTCACAGAGCCTAGTGTCCAGTCATCTGGGCTACAAAGTGGCCCTCCAGACCAGTGGGGTCCTTCCCTGCAGCAATGCTGTGCCATTTTTGCTCTCTTTGTGCAATCCCTTCCCTTCACCCGAATCCCTGAATCCCAACCCGGTATTGCCCAAATCCCAACCCATTTCTCAAGGCTCATTCTTCAATGGAACTTCCCTTGATCCCCTCTATCCCTTCTTGTAAATCTCATGGCGACTCATAAGTTTCATGGCTCTACTTATAGCACTTCCCACTTTCATATATATGTGGGTCTGTATATGTAACGTTTATACATATTATGTATTGTATTTTTATATGCTCTATATTGGATTATATGTTTTCTCTCTACATAGGCATGTGTTATATAAATGAAATAAAACAATGCTGTTTTAGTAATACCTACCTAATCTTTGTTCTCTCGCACCTCCTTTTCCTATTGGGAAATATTCCTCAACATCTTGGCTTTGTGCCTTAATGTTTCAGTCACTGACACTGTTTCAACTAGTCTTATTTCCATTTCAAAGACTCATTTCACAATGGGGTGGTGAGGGCCTGGGCGGAGGCGGGGTGGGGGTGCGGGAGTGGCTGGAAGGGGGTTAATGGGGGGGAAAGGAGGACCTAGGTAATACAATAATAAAGATTAAACATTAATTAAATTTTTAAAAAGACTCTCTTCACTCTATTTTAAAACTTGAATCTCATGTCTATCTCAAAGTTTTCCTCCCTTTGGTAGCTCAGTCTGAGGAAGTGATGTACGGGTCTCTGGCTGCTCTGCCTGCTCTTCTGATGACGGACAAAGAAGGGGAGAGGGGGAGGCGAAGACCGGGAAAGCCTGCAGTAGCCTTCCTCCTCGCTGGCCAGTTACGTTCATCAGGATGCTCTGCTAAGGAAGCTCCAGGGCACCGCCGTCCCAATGAAATTTCCTGCATTTTCCACAGGAAGCCCCTTCCCAGTACTGACACCCTGTCACATTGCTCTGATGTACTCACCTCTTTTTCCCCATGTTTGCCACTTCTGGCAACATTAGAACCATCAATCTCATCTCTCCATAGCCAATTCTCAGGTATGCGGGCTCAGGCAGGCTGCAACTTTTGTACTTCTCTGAATTCATATATTTAAGCAAAGGGGTTCGCCACCACCACCTCCAGCAGGCATCTCTCCGCAATTGCTTGGTTTGGTTTTTATTAGAATAGCCAGTGGTAGGTTGACAGGTATCCATGCGTAAGGATGTTGGTCTCCAAAAGAAGTTATGGAGAGAACTTTGACACCTTTCAGTAGGGTAGGGATGGAGGTACCTGGTAGTTGCCCCTATTATTGGCATCTTCTCTGCAATGAGGAGGTAATTCGAAGTCTTATTTTTAGCCACAATTCTGGGATAAGAAAACTAACTGCATATTATGCATATACATTCAATCCAACGTTTATGAAATTCTCTCTTTTCTACATAATTACTTATTTTGTCATTTTCAAAAAATGACAAAATGGCACTTTTAAAACCTTAGGAGTTCAGGATAAAAACCTTGGATTACTTAGATATATCTAAACTCCCACCTCCACTACCCCCTAAATTCTACCAGGACACAAAAATGCAGAAAGAGTCCCCACAGCCTCAGAAAGATGGTATTTATAGCATTCCTAATGTTTATAGGACCAAAAGCCCCAAATGCCAGTTTTTATACCATCCCAATTATGGCCATTTCTTAAGGTATAATCATGTAGACAAAATAGTCAAATCTCCCTACCAGAACTCTGAGAAAAAGAAATTCCCAAGAAAATAATGCTGATTTCTGATATGTGAAAAAATAGTGTCAGAAATTATTATCAACAAGAAATCTGACAGTTAAATGAAAGTAAAAGGCAGAGTCCAACCAAGATTAATATCAATAGATTTCTTTTTTAGTCTAAGAACCAAATAAAATCTAGATTCACTATAATTAGGATGCATACTTATTTTAATGGAAATTTGGGGTAGCAGCGTACAGGGCTTGGGAAA